GGCGAGTTGATCCTGCGGCCCGCCGCAGCCATGCCGGACGGCTGGGACAAGGACGTGTACCCTGAACCCCCACGCCGCACGCCGGCGCCCTCCCCGCAGACCTCGCTGCCCAACCCCATCACCTACGTGACCAAGGCCTTCGAACTCCTCGTGGACCGGCCCGTGACCCTCGTGAGAGGTACGACTCCCAGACGGCCCCGGGCCATGGCGCACCCCCGGCCTCGCCACCCAGACTATGCCCCCTGACGCCCCCTCCCCGGAAAAGCACGGGTCTTCCGCGGACACCTCCCACAGCACCCCGGACCTCCCTAGGATCCTCCCCACCGTATCCCAGAGTTCACATGAGCCCACTGCACTCCCGGATCTCATGCCGGACCCCCAGCCCCCACTGCACCCTGATTTCATGAGGATGCCCCATGAACCCCGGATTTCATTCGAACTTCCCTACTGCACCCCGACTTCACATGGAATGGACCCCCTACTGCACCCTCAGGCACCCCTGACCTCACACCCAGACCTCACTTGAACCCAGTGCATTCCTGACCACAAAGACCCCTGCTGCACCCTTGATCTCACACAGACACCCCCTACTGCACCCCCAGACTTCATTTGGACCTTTCCCTACTGTACACCCAAGCCCTTACATGACCCCTTCACTGCACCCTGACTTCATGTGGACCCCTCCCTATTGCACTCCGAGACCTCCCCTTGGCCCTCCTGCTGCACCCCAACCTTCACTTGTACTCTCCCTACTGTCCCTTGACATGCCCCGGCCTGGCATGGGTTCCCGCTGCACCCTGTCCATGCCCAGCCTCACTGTACCCCAGGGCTTTGCCCCTCAGAACCTTTTTACTGTCCAATGTCCCCAGGACCCACCCCTGCAGTCCTGACCCCAGAAACTCCTCCAACTTTCTCCAAACCGAGTTTGTGGCTCAGAATTGTCTGTGTCTAGGGCAGCCTGTTTGGGTGGGTGGCCCACAGCAAGGTACAGGGGCACCCACTAGCTGGCTGCCCACCTTCAAGGTGGTCGTGGGCCTACTTTGGGTCACCATTCCTTGTCCACATGACAGGATGTTCGGTGAGGGCCCCTTGCTCACCCTCCCTCCTGCTGCCACCTGTCAGGCTGTTTGTTCAGTGCCAGTGTGTGTTTTCCTGCCTACGGGACAGCTCAAGAAGGGGCCGGGCACCTCTTCCTCCGCCCACAGGCTCTGCCATCAGAGCAGTGGAGCGATCTCTTGGCGGTGCCATCGAGTCGGCTCATAGTAACCCAGGGTGTAGTGTGGCAGAGTGAAGCACTGCCCTGCCCGGAGCACCCTCACCATGGTCGCCTTGCTCTTTTTCACTGGGTCTGTGCCACTGTGGGGCATGGTGTGAGGGCCCAGGCTGTCTTAGAAAGCATTTTCAAGGCCTGGTTCTCCAACTCATTACTCCTGTTCTGATGGGGAAGCTGTGGCCAAGTGGGCCCCGAGCTCAGGCTGGTGGTCCTTAGGGCCTGAGGGATCAGGCCACGGGTCTGGGTTCCAGCCCCTTGCTCGCTTTCTCCCCAGCTCTCTATAGATCGTGGTCCTGTGCATAAGCGAGCTTCTCAACATTCATGGGAAAAGGGGGTTAAAAGGGCTTTCCCCACAGACGTCTTGAAGGCCTCTCGTGTAGGGAGAGAGGACTTGCCACCCAAGGTCGTGGGGTCTGAGCTGCTTGCTGGCTAGGGGTTGCAGTGCATGGTGATGTCACTGCGGCCCCCCCCCAATCCTTTCAGGAACGGTCTCCCTGCTGCACCCCCCACCCCACTGAGACTACAGGCCCGTTTCCTGCCCCGGCCCTTTGGCGGGGTTTCTCTCTCTGCAGACTTCATCGAGCAGCAACATGCCAAGAACAAGACCTACTACTACCACCGGCAGTTCCGCCGTGTGCCCGACATCACTGAATGCCAGGAAAAGGATGTCCTGTGCATGTTTGAAGCCGAGATGCAGTGGCGGAGGGACTAGTAGGTACCCTGGTGTCTGCTGGGTGGCAGCAGCATGGCCAGCTGGATTTTCCTGGGGGCCCCAGCTGGCAGGAATGTCTTGCGTGGGGGCAAGGTGGAAAGGGGCATTAGAACTGTGAGAAAGTTGAGGTTCACAGATCTTCCACTCAGCAATCCATACTTGTTTGGTGTCATCTCCTTCATGGACGTTGCCTCAGCAGGCCGTCACTGATGCTGCCTCACTTTGGGCTTGGTAAATGCTACTGTCTGCCTTCAAGTCATGCTGACTCCTCGTGACCCTATGGGGCAAGTGGAACTGGTCCTGTAGGGCTCTACGACTGGGAGTCTAGTTGTAGGAAGCCTGATCTTTCTCCCTAGGAGTGGCTGGTGCTTTTGGACTGTGGACTTTTCAGGTTAGCAGCCCTATGTACTGAGTTGCAATCTACTGTGGGCAGTGCTTTCGGGCCTTTCCTTGATGTGAAGTGGCTCTTCTACAAGTGCCCTGCGTGTTATCTTTCCTAGCAAAGTCGACCAGGAGATTGCCAACATCATGCAAGAGAGGATGAAGGCCTGCCAGCAGCGAGAGGGCCAGAGCTATGTGCAGAACTGTGCCAGGGAGTTGGAGCAGTTTGCTCAAGTGTCCAAAGCCTACCAAGACCGCTGTGAGTGCCACCCCATTCCCCAGTGCATGCGGAGCTAGACTTGTCTTTCAAATGGTCACTAATGAGGGGGTTACAAGGCTTGCTAAATAACGTGTGCAGTTTTGCACAAAAATGCTATTGTCTAGGGGCAGGGCTTACCTGTTTACCTAAGGATTTCTCCTGTAGCCACTCATGTCTCCCTTCCCAGACCAAGACCTGGGAGCTCACTACTCAGCCCGGAAGTGCCTGGCCAAGCAGAAGCAGAGGATGCTAGCTGAGCAGAAGGCAGCCAAGGCAGCAGCCTAAGAGGCATCTGCAGCCTGAGGAGACCTTTGTAAACCTACTTTTGACTACTGCCCTGAAATAAAAGTTCTGGCTCCCCGAGTACTACTGTGTGTGCCCTTTGACACCCCTTACCCCAGTGCTGGAACCTGCAAGCCTTTTTCCTGCATTGACGCAGCCCCACCACACTAGTAAGACAACACAAAAGGCAGGCAGGCTCAATTCACTTTATTACTTTTTTGTATAAATGGACTATGTGGTAGCCACAGCTGGAGCCTGGGTCCTCTGCACGGAGACTCTGGTGTGGGTCTTCACAAGATGGTCAGTGAATTCCTGCAAAGAAAGACAGGTCTTAAAGGTGGCTGGACACACTGCTACTCCCAACGCTTTCCCAGGAGGCAGGCCAGGAGGCCAGACCAGCTGCTTGCCTAGCACACAGTACCTGGTAGGGAGACTTGGTGAACACTGTCTCTTTCCAGAGGTCAGGGGTCAGATAGCTGTAGGTCTTGGAGATGGCATCAAAGGTGGCTTTGGCTAGAAAACAGTAGACATGAGGACAGGCTCTGACTTGAGACTGACCCCCACCCATTACAGCCTGTGGGCACCCCACCTACCGAAGTTGCCCAGGGTGGCTGTGCAGCCCCTAGCCGACGTGTAGCAGTCATCAATCCCTGCCATCATCAGCAGTTTCTTGGGCACAGGGGCTGAGACGATGCCAGTGCCCCTGGGGGCAGAGATAAGTCGCACCAACACAGACCCACAGCGGCCAGTCACCTTGCAGGGGACCGTGTGGGGCTTGCCGATCTTGTTGCCCCAGTAGCCTCGCCGCACGGGGACAATGGACAGCTTGGCCAGGATGATGGCCCCTCGGATGGCGGTGGCAACTTCCTTGGAGCACTTGACACCCAGGCCAACATGGCCATTGTAGTCCCCGATGGCAACAAAGGCCTGTAGCAGAGAGCCGAGTGAGTATCAGCCGATCCCTGAGCTGCTCTGCACCAGTTCCCAAGGCCTGTTGTGCCCCCCAGAAGGGACAGGCCACAGGAGGCCTGCCCAAGATCCTGAGGGCACCCTTTCTCTCTCTCCTCTTTACGAAAGTCACACATGTTATGGCAGGTGTAACCATGCAGAGCAGGGAGAGCCCCTAGCAGATCCCCCCGCCCCCCCCAGGCACCCGAGGTAGTGACACGGTACCTTGAACCTGGTCCGCTGGCCGGCTCGGGTCTGCTTCTGCACAGGCATGATCTTTAGGACCTCGTCCTTGAGAGCCATCCCCAGGAAGAAGTCAATGATCTCAGACTCCTACAGAACAGGGCAATGTGTCCTTGAAGAATTCAAAGCCCCGGCTATAGGACTTCTAGCTCCCAGGGACACCCTCGGGGCCCTGGGGGTGTAATGGTCACACAGTTGCTCCAAGACACCTGAAACACCAATCCAGTCCCAGAGGCAGCACCCCTCAACAAAACCTGGGGCGCTCAATGGGGTCCTATCACTAAACCAGGTGCAGAGTGCCATCCATACCTTGATGGGCAGGGAGAACAGATAGATCTCCTCCAGGGACTTGATCTTCATGTCCTTGACCAGACGACCCAGCTTGGTGACAGGGAGCCACTGGAGGAACAACAGGCGCGGGTGAGCGAGCCCTCTGCGGGCCACCTCAGTCCACGGGCCTGCCCCATGCGCACGACCAGAAACTTACCTCCTTGTCTTCGGCTTTGCCCCCGCGAGCTCCGCGGCCTCGTCCACGGCCCCGACCACGGCCGCGACCACGTCCTCGCAAGCCGCTGCCGAAGCCTCCACGGAAGCCGCCGCGAGCTGCGGCTCCCGGGCCCCCGGGGCCTGCAGGCCCTCCCGCTGCACCGGCGTCATCCGCCATTTGCTAAGGAAAGCGACAGAAAGCAGTGAGAACTCGGCTCTCGCAGCCTTCCGCAAACAAGCCATGATCAAGACCGAGAGTCCTGACCCAGCGCACTGCCCGATGTTCGCGGATTCCCCCGCCCCAAGAACTGGCGCCACAAGCCTAAGAAAAAGAACTCACGTGTTTTCTCGGAGAAGAAGACTGGGGCCTTCTGGGACGAGGCTTTTATATCGCGCTAAGTATCGCGTGGTCTCCCAGAACGCGCCTGGGACCTCGGCGTGCTCTGTGATTGGCTCCCAGAATCTCCGCCCCGCCCTCGCTACGTACGCCTGGGCGCGCCTCCCTTTCTGAAGGCGGCGGCTGAACGGACGCGTGTACGTGACGTCACGGTGGCGACGCTATAAATACACGCTCGCCTCACTTGCGGTCCGTTTTGTCTCGCGTGGCGTCGCTGCCTCCTTCTCTGGTACGTGTGCTTCTCGCATGTCAGGCCCTACCGACCCACCTCTCTCGGGGACCGGGCGGAGCAAGGAGCAAGGGGGAGCCCGGCGCTAGCTGAAAATCGCCTGCGGCGTCACCCGTGGCCGCGGGTGAGATTCGGCGCCCAGAGCAACCAGGGGCCTTAGCTCGCCGCCTACTGCCTGCGTGTAGGCGGCCGAAACCCAGGTCCCAACAGGCGCCGCTGCCCTCTCGGCCTGGCCACTGACCCTCCCTTTCTCCGTAGGTCGCTGATGCCGGAGCCTGCTGGCGAAGACGCCGGGACCCCGCGGGGATGGTGGGGAGGGAGGGACAGAAAGGACGATAGGCCCCCCTCTTCCCATAAAGCTGTTCATTGACTCATTACAAGTTGTGTGCGTGTTTTTTCAACCTTGTCTGTTAGCATCTGCTAATGCTGGTTGCATTTGAGACCGTGGAGGTAATACAGTTTTAGACACTGATAGGGTCACAGCCCAGAGGAACGTGCGCTGGGCGGACCTCTGGCGACGATGGGAGTATGAGGTGCTCAGCTCAGCCTTGCTGCAGTGCTTCCCGACGTCTCTAGGTTCTCTCGGATTGGTGGGCCTATGCCTACGTGAGCTTGGCACTCCCATGTACCCAGATAACCCTGTGGGGACACACGTTGGTCCTACAGGTTGGACTTGATCATATGTTACCTTGATTCCAGGTGACCCTCCTGTCAGTGCTTTCTGACCTCTAGGGACCCCTGTAAGTCCTGACCCCTGCCTTTGGAGCTAGCACCCTAGGTCCTCAGGTCTCAGCCCTGGCTACCTGAGAATACCTGCTGAGGCAGGTTGGGGACATGGCTGACATCTCAGCCTTGGAACAAGACCCGGTGTTGCTTGGAGGTCAGTTTTTTACTATCCCCCCAGAGCAGGGGCTCCAGTGGGTAGCTGCCCCACCCCTCCCTGTGATATGACAGAGGGCAGCAGGGGTCAGGCAGTGAAGCATCCCAGTAGGCGCTGGGCTAGAGCTGTGATTGGCCTGAGCAGCACAATGCCACTGTGATGTCAGTCCCCTCGCCTGTGAAATGGAGGCCCCCAGTACCCTGTGGGCCAGTGTGGCTGCCATACTGACACAACATGGTAAGCCCAGGCCTTCTTGCCCCTGTCCAGGGCTGGACCCAGCTCCTAGCTCAGAAAAAAGGAATAGCGGAAGACAGTGGGTTATGGGGCAGAAGGTACCTCCAGGACCAAAGCCAGGTTCTCCAGGGGCTAGTGGAGGTGGTGAGGCAGCGGGATTGGGTGGGGAGTCTGGACCAACAAGCAGATGCTGACACAGCCTCTCCATCAGAATTCTCTGGAGGCGCTCCTATCTGTCCAGAGCTGACTGGGAATCTCCCTCTGGGTATGTGGAGTGGGAGGTGGTGAGCCCTGGCTGCACCCTAAGGATAGCCTGACTTTTGCAGAGTGGAGGGTATGATCTCAACCTCTTTGCCAACCCTCCCAACTGTAACTTCGTGTGCTCCGTCTGCCACGGGGTTCTCAAGAGGCCAGTCCGCCTGACATGCAGCCACATCTTCTGCAAGAATTGCATCCTCCAGTGGCTGGCCAGGTGTCCTGGGCACTCGAGGGTTGGGTATGGATGTGCTAGGGCGGGCATGGCAGCTATCTGAATCCCAGGACAGGGGAAGGGCGAAGTGGGTTGTCACAATAGACAAACGGGTGGGAGTCCTTCATTCATGGTGCCTGCAGGCCAGCTTCTGGGAGCCCGTTAATGTGGCCCATGAGTGCCTCCTTCCGACTGGGCTGGGGTGCAAAGGGTCACCCAGTGAGAACTTTTCTAGGGAGGTCCACATCTGCCACTGTCCCTTCCCACTCAAACGCTCGCCCCCACCTCTGTCACCTGCCTGCTTCCAGGCAGAAGACCTGTCCTTGCTGCAGGAAGCAGGTGAAGCGAAGAAGCCTGGTTTACGTGAACAAGCTCCGCAAAGCCATTGGCCGCCTGGAAGTCAAGGTAGCTCGCCCCGCTCCTCCCCGCCCCTCCTGTAGCCGGAAGGGGCGGAACTAGGGAGAGCCCTATTAACGAACTAGAACTGAGGTTTTGTCTTAGCAACTTTAGGGCGTGGGGGTGGGTCTTCGGACCTGGCTGTGTGACTCTGGGCAAGTTGCCGAAACTCGGAGCTCAACCTGACCACGTGCCCCACGTCCCATGTTCTCCAACACAGACCCAGCCACCTCCTCTTGGAAGTCTAGAACCCCACCTCCCTGCATTGGCCGGCTGTTCCCCCCTCCCCACTAGCCTTAAACTCAAATGAGTTCGCTGGTCGGTGAATGCAGTGGGATTAAGGGAGGGTCTGTCCAGCCCCGCTACCAATGCCTTGGTTTGGCTCACTAGCTGCTGTCCCCTGCCCGCAGTGCAAGAATGCCGAGGCTGGCTGCTTGGCGACCTGCCCGCTGGCCCATCGGAGGCGGCACCAGGACTCGTGCCCATTTGAGCAGATGGCCTGCCCCAACGATGGTTGCTCAATGAGGGTGCAGCGCTGGGCCCTAGCCGAACACAGGCGGTACTGTCAGCACAGTGCCCAGTGGCACTGCCCCCTGGGCTGCGGG